CCACCCTTATAGACATATAGAGTACTATATAGAGACATCGATAATGTACTATATACAGTATAGTATATATTATAATATAGTACATCAATATATTTTATCATCGTACTATTTATAGTACGATGATGAACTATATTGCTATTTTTACATTTACTATACTATATAGTACGATGCTGTACTATTTATATTACTATTTATAGTACATCATCGTACTATATAGTATAGTAAATGTACTACAGTAGACAGCGATGATGTACTACTATATTGTAGTACATGTTTTATACTATATAGTATAGTACATGTACAATATAGTACAGTAGTGCATCATCGCTGTCTCAAAGGGTGTATGCACTCTACTATACAGTATATAGTACATCATCTCTAAGGGAGTCTACCCTACTATATACTAGTAGATAGATGATGTACTGTATAGATTATGTACTATAGGGTGTCTAGGGGTACTTATATGGGATGGTTGAGCGGACGACGAGCGGACAAGACCAACATTCTCGATGCTCTTAAACTTGTAAACATTCTGAGACAAGACCACAAAGAAACATGAGCGTTGCTTTCTTTGGGGACGGGGAATTGGGAATCATACTTTGCCCCGTCAGCTGCTTCATCTGCGCGGAACATGGCGGTCAAGCGGATAAATGGCATTATCAAGACGCTTGATTGGGAGAAAGTCGAAGCTACTTTGCATTCTGATGGGCGCGATGACGCGGATCCTGGTTTTGATGTTTGCGATGCCTCGCTAGAGGATTGGGAGCGATATGTCAAGTCGGAGAATCAAACACTGGTGTCGAGGGCGATGGCATTCGAAAATGGTAGAATCTACATTGTCGAACTCCCATCTGGTGTCCATGATGGCTACTGCGGCTTGCTAAACACGGCCGTATTGAGGGCGACGGGTACTTTCGATGATCACTTGATGTCGCGTCAATCGAGTTTCGTGGAAAGCCTCCGAAAACTCGAGCCCGATTGCAGTTTTGGTCCTGCTCCTGGTATTGGTGCCAATCGTCCCGGTGGAATGACGTGGAACGAATACCACACATTGAAGGTGGAAGTGGGCGTCTCACGAGGATGGCCGTATTTGAATCGGAAAGCGGATCAATGGAGGCAATACCCCGGCGTCGAATACATTCTCTGCATTCGTCTATCACCAGCGCTGCGGGTTCGTCAGTACAAGCTCTA